TTATAACGTGTGCACAGGGTATGCATTTTATAACATTGCAGAGCTCCAGTAACGCCAGGGTATAAGACTGCCATACAGATGCATTTTATAACATTGCAGATCTCCAGTAACGCCAAGGTCTAAAGCTGCCATACAGAAGCACTTTATAACATTGCACAACTATGGTAACGCCAGGGTATAAGACTGCCATACAGATGCATTTTATAACATTGCAGAGCTCCAGTAACGCCAGGGTATAAGACTAATACAGATGCATTTTATAACATTGCAGAAGCCAGTAACGCCACGGTATATATACAGATGCATTTTATAACATTGCAGAGCAACCAGGTAACGCCAGGGTTTTATAAGACTGTCATACAGATGCATTTTATAACATTGCAGAGCTCCAGTAACGCCATACAGGTATAAAGCTGCCATACAGAATGCACTTTTATAACATTGCAGAACTCCAGGTAACGCCAGGGTATAAGGCTGCCATACAGATGCATTTTATAACATTGCAGAACTCCAGTAACGCCAAGGTATAAGGCTGCCATACAGAAGCATTTTATAACATGCTGCACAGCTATGGTAACGCCAGGGTATAAGGCTGCCATACAGATGCATGTTATAACATTGCAGATCTCCAGTAACGCCAGGGTATAAGACTGCCATACAGATGCATTTTATAACTTTATAACAACGCCAGGGTGCATACAGACTATTTATAACGCCAGGGTATAAGACTGCCATACAGATGCATGTTTATAACATTGCAGAGCTCCAGTAACGCCAGGGTATAAGACTGCCATACAGATGCATTTTATAACATTGCAGAGCTCCAGTAACGCCAGGGTATAAGACTGCCATACAGATGCATTTTATAACATTGCAGATCTCCAGTAACGACCATAGGTGCTAAACATTGCAGAGCTGCCCAGGGTATACAGATAGCATGCATTTATAACATTGCAGAGCTCCATGGTAACGCCAGGGTATAAGGCTGCCCTACAGAAACATGCATTTTATAACATTGCAGATCTCCAGTAACACCAGGGTATAAAGCTGCCATACAGATGCATTTTATAACATTGCACAACTCCAGTAACGCCAGGGTATAAGGCTGCCATACAGAAACATTTTATAACATTGCAGACTGCCCAGTAACACCAAGGTCTAAAAGCTGCCTTACAGAAGCATTTTATAACACTGCATAAGGCAACAGATGCTTTTTATGGTCCAGTAACGCCAGGGTATAAGGCTGCCATACAGAAACATTTTATAACATTGCAGAACTCCAGTAACGCCAAGGGTATAAGGCTGCCATACAGAACCATTTTATAACATTGCAGAACTCCAGTAACGCCAGGGTATAAGGCTGCCATACAGATGCATTTTATAACATTGCAGAGCTCCAGTAACGCCAAGGTATAAAGCTGCCATACAGATGCACTTTATAACATTGCACAACTATGGTAACGCCAGGGTATAAGGCTGCCCTACAGAAACATGTTATAACATTGCAGATCTCCAGTAACGCCAAGGTCTAAAGCTGCCTTACAGAAGCACTTTATAACATTGCACAACTATGGTAACGCCAGGGTATAAGGCTGCCCTACAGAAACATGTTATAACATTGCAGATCTCCAGTAACGCCAAGGTCTAAAGCTGCCTTACAGAAGCACTTTATAACATTGCACAACTATGGTAACGCCAGGGTATAAGGCTGCCCTACAGAAACATGTTATAACATTGCACAACTATGGTAACGCCAGGGTATAAGACTGTCATACAGAAGCATTTTATAACATGTTGGAGACACCGCAAAGGTTGAAGTGCTCAGGCATGCAGAAGTCTGGAATCATCATGTGTTGTACGAAGTAAGTGTTAGGATTATAATTTGAAAGTGAGTATCAGCTGGTAATACTGATGTTTTGCAATATTCTTTCCAAAACGTTGTAGCAAGTGAGACTGTTTTCCTTTTTGCCTGTCATCTCATTGTTGTCAAAATAATGTTTGCTTATTGGCAAATGATTACTTAAATTTAGAGCGCGATTACGTTGCTGATGTATTTTAGAGTTGTTCTTAATGTTGTGTTCTATATTATAATTTCTTTGAGGTATTAACACAAAACACGATGGGCAAACTGTGTGAACCGGCAAATAATATTAAACATGACAACTCTTCTAACTTCATCAACAAGGACCACTCATTCTCTTTATGAAATAGTCCGCTTTAGTGGCCACGGTCTCACTCCTGACAGTTTATGGAAGCGTTAGAAACTAAATCCGTTGCTTGGTTGGTCAATCAAATAGGAGCGAATCACTTGCAAAGTAGCCATTAACGAAAGTTGTGGATTATTTCGAAGTACTGTTTAGTGTACATTTCGATGTGCTCGATATTCGTGACGAAATTGTTTTCATCACATTTCACCCATTTTCACGAAAACACAAGTTCCATTGCTTCTTTGTAAGGTTCGAGTAATAATGTTTTGTTTTAAATGTTTAGACTTCTCTGCTCTATTAACCTGAAGGTAGCAAATTTAGTTTAAGATGCTGAAAATATTACCCTAAAAACACAAGTTACAGTGATCAAATTTTGCTCTTGGATATTTCTTACGAATTCTGATGTGAATGCGCAATATATATTCACGTGCAATAAAACATATGCAATATATATAAATAGACAATGCAAGGTGAGAAGATGTACAGAGATAACAATATAATTATGAAGCCTTTTAGATACAAGGAGTGGGGCTTGTAATGTTTGTTTGGCGTGAGTAACAGCCGCCATTGGGCTTCTTGCCGGGGTCAGTGTCAAAGTACCAGCGAAGCAGACCCCGGGAACCAGTCCGGCCAGATAGAGACATTGGACATCTGTGAGTGGAAGATACTGTTATAGATTTTTATGGATTTAAAAAAAAAAAAAATAAAAAGAAATGTAATGTGGCTTTTTCACAAAGATTTGTTTTTTAATTAATCTAATGGGATAAGACTAGTAATCCCTTGTCAGCACGGACTATGTGTGAAGTTTCAAGGTGTTGTGTACAGGTTGACCTGGGGGTCAGTGAGGATGGCGATTTGAAACAGTCACTCTTTAGTCTGGACCATTAAAAGCTGACAGGCGCTCAAACCCTACCCTGCAACACACACAACACCCCGAGGTTCCCAAATCCCATCTCCGACACAGGCCCTCTCTTCCACTGCCTATCTCCCTCGCTTTCATTCCTTCGTCTTTCTCTTCCCCTCTCTTCGCCTGTATCTGTTTTCCGTCCATTTCCCTTTCTTGCCATTCTCTTGTCTCTGCCTTCCCTGTCTCTCTCAAATACCCGCATCGTTGTGCCTCTCTCTTTCGACCCTCCGTTATCTGTGTTATCGACAAAGTGGCTGGCATGCACCAGTGCATATGCATATATTTATATAGTATGACCAGAAATTATTGAGAATTTGAGGAATATGTTTAATTGGATTTCTAGTATAAACAACCTTGACCAGCTATCAAGTGCTTGGTTTCATTAATCCTTTTTCATTAGTTTGTGAAGAGTTATCCCCTTTGTTTACTTGCTAGCAGACGACATTTTCAGTGATCCTCAGTATTGATGATTTAGAGAAGAGGAAGTTGATTTTAGAGTATTATAACTAGGACATTAGATCAGCTAAAGTGATTTCAAGTAGAACAGGCATCCCTTTGTCCACTGTTTATCGTGTTTTGAAAAATATTGCAAATGGATATGGCATTGAGCACCAGGGAGGCGCAGGTAGGCCCAGAAAATTGACTGTCGGTGACAGGAGGCGGCTTGGTATTCTTGTTTCTAAAAACAAACGAAGGAGTTTAGAAAACTTAAGGCTGGATATGATTGATAGAGGAACTGTGGCTGTCTGTAAGGAGACAATTGGAACTGAGCTGCATGCAATGGGTTGGCAGAAAAGTCGAGGAATTCCATCACCGATCATGAAACCTGAACAAAAGGAGCGAAGGTTGAACTGGTGCTTACAGCATAGAACTATTAACTGGGACAATGTGATTTTCTCAGATGAAAGTTCTGTGTGGCTGTTTCCTAATACACTGAAATTCTGGACCAAACAAACTGAAAAACCTTTGTGTCAGCGCCCAAAGTACAGTCCGAAATTTAAATTGTGGGGTGCAATATCTGTGTTAGGGGCAACGCCCTTCTGTGTATTTGAAGGGAACGTGAACAGTAAGCGGTACACAGATATTCTCGAGGGACGCTCAGGTGTTCTATGGAAATTTTTGGATTTTCCAGCAGGCGAGGTGAGGTGAGGTGAGGTGAAATTGGGTTTTAACGTCGTGCTTGAGAATATTTCGCTCATATATCGACGTGCATGCGTGTGTATGTGTATGTGCGGCTGCTTGTACTAGCCCAGACTGAAGCTGGTTTTATAGTGCTAACCCACTGAGATACCATGCCGCAGTGTAGCATGAATACCCCACTCAGACACATTATACTGACTCCGAGCCGACCAGTCCTTGTTGTACCCATTAATGCCGAGCGCCAGGCAGGGACCAACAAGTACCATATTTTAACGTCTTTTGGTATGACGCAGTCGGGGATCGAACCCGCGACCTTCCGCTCTCCGGGCGGACGCTCTAACCACTACACCGCGGCCTTTTTCCAGCAGGACAACGACCCAAAACATCGTTCAAAGCATTCACAGGCCTGGTTTCGGACCAAAAATATGACATTATTAGATTGGCCAAGCTATAGCCCTGACCTAAATCCAATAGAAAATGTTTGGGGACTAACAAATATTGCTGACGATATTGGGACAGCATGGACCACGACTTTCTAACTTTTTGATCAGTAGTATGCCCCGCCGCATTGAAGCCTGCATTGCTGCCCATGGTGACTTGACAAAATACTAACTGTTCACCTGTCTTTCAATCTGGAGTTATGTTCTGCTAATATTCACATTTAATACGTGAGTAATGAGTGAAAACAATAACAAAAAATATAATCTTTAAATTCTCAATAATTTCTGGTTGTAATGTATCACCTGATCCCACCTAACAACCTGAACCCGGAAGTGACGCAGCTAGGCTAGAGGACGTGGCCAGTGTCAGGTAGGTGCTCTATGTGAATCGTCTGTTATATCCTAACAGCATATGTTGGTATAGGAAAAGTGTTCTGTATAAGAAACTAACTGCGTTCAGAATGCGTTTATCTGTCAAATCGTCAGCATCAGCAAAACAGATCTTAACTCGAACATTGTTTCATAAACCATACGTCTATTCATTCGCGTCAGGGCACAAATAAACAGTTCTACTTTCGATCGTTATCAAGTTACGCCACATATAACGATACAACATTCTACCCTGGTTTGTTTACATGAAAAGACCTTTCTTTGCAAGCTCACGTTCACACCATGACGGCCTCACGTGTGTCGTATTTGAGCACACAGAAATAATATGTGAAAGGAATGTATAGCTCTTAATATAGGATCGATCGTTACACCTACGTTTCACCGCAATTCTTGAATGGTTGTTTATTGATCCCTTTTATATAATGGGAATAGTGATGGGCGTCGGTGTGTAGATATTAAATCATTATGACATAATGCTCAGACGTAAAATGAAGACAGAAAAAACCCGATGCCCATTGCAAGTGAAACGCATGTTATCTTGAGCTACGCATACTGTACAGTTGTTAGTTGTTTGTGTTGCACTCACGTATATTACGTTTCACATCTAAAGCACATGAATGCATTTTAAACTTGTGTATGGCCTTTGGGTTACAGCATATATAGTACCTACAAACTAGGGCTGGGACGGGTACAAATAATCTACCCGGGTACCCCACCCCTTTTACCCTACCCCGATACCCGATATGTTAATTCCTGACATCTAATTTGCAAGAAATGGCAATATATTCTCCAGCTCGGAGACTAAAATTTAGAGTTTTCCAGTATCTTAATCATGTTTTATATTTAAAACAGGTGACTGTAAATAATGTCTAAATATTCAAAGAAAATACAACCTTTTTATCATGAAAGAATAACATATTACATTGTTTAATCTATTAGTCACATGATCATAACGGGTCTGGGTATTGAGATGGGTACTCGAGTCCAACTCATTACCCACCCGTCCCGCGTATCCGGGTTGCCCGTCCCAGCCCTACTACAAACATGTTATGCATTAACCTGTTTAAGTTTCCTCACAACTCAGAACTCAGTTATACGTGCAAGTAGTGTTCGCTCATGCCGCCCTACGTTTCAGCTTCGAGATTACGACGATTACGTTCCATACAATGGCCCCATATTGTACACGGGCATGGAGACCAAGACAAGTATAACGGGGCTTTATGTGTGGCTGCATTCTTTACTCTGTGATCACAACAACTACTGTCAATGCACTTCATGGATACGTGGATACTGTTCTGTTTGAAATTTACAATTTTGGAAATCAATCCATCTTCGGAAATATATATTTTAGGTGGTCAATTAATGCTTGGAAAGGAAACATAGTTTAGCTGGTCAATTAATGCTTTGGAACGTAATATATAGTTTCAATCAACACTCAATTATTGATGTATCATTAAATGTGTGTTTTCATATCAACCATGTTACACGTCAAGGTGCGTTGCTATTGGCCCTTGATCGGCTGAAAGGACCTATTGCAAGGCCAATATAAACACAACAATATAATAGTATAACTTCTTCTTTTTTAAATTCAGTATATCAGCAGTATAAACACTTGAAAAATATCCAGTCAGGATGCACGTTTGACATCGATCAACACATATAATATGATATTAGAATACACATACAATTTACTACTAAAGGCAGAGTTTTGAATGTAAGGATGCAAAAGTTCGTATATTTTCAGAACTGCGCTGCTACGACTGCATAACACCAAAACAGAGAAATGGCGACCGCAATGAAGCTACCCCAGTGTTGTGTGTGTGGCACCTCTTTCACATATGGCGGCTCCGACCCCCGCCTCCTGCCCTGTCTCCATTCAGTGTGTCAGGAATGTCTAAATATTGGCACCTCTGATATACTGACCTGTGACATCTGTCAGGAAACATTCGACAAAGAACAAACTGATTTTCCTCCCGATGTCGTTGCCATCAAAGATATCTTCCTCCAAACTGCTGAATATGATGGTTCCGCTGTGCTGTGTACCAACAAGGATGACGGTAACCAAGCCATGTCCTGGTGTGATGAATGTGAAGCCCTCTTGTGTGAGCACTGCCAAGCAGGTCATGAGGACATGAAGATAACTCGATCTCACAAAGTCGTCCCACTGGAAAACCTGAAGTCATCAGATGGAGTGCCGATTCCTAAGACTGCCTACTGCACTGAACACGTTGATCACCCTCTGCAGCTGTATGATGACACGTGTGAACAGCGAATATGTTTCAAATGTAGGGAGAACCATGGCGTCTGCAAGGTGAATGACATAACCGAAGCATATCAACATCTGAAGGAGACGGTATTGGATGAAGAAAGAAAGGCCTCGCGAAGAAGATTGAGACCATCAGCGCCATCAGGGAACAGATACATACAGTTGTCAAATTGTCAGAGACGAAAGAAGAGGAAGAGAAAGATTTCTTGAAACATACATTTTCCGATCTGAGAAATACGTTAAACCAGCGAGAAGAAGAGCTTTCGCTTGAACTGGGTCAAAGTTTCAAAGCTGTATATGATGTGAATAACTCCCGGCTTTACGAGTTGGGAAAGAAGAAAGCCAAATGTGACACAGCCCTTGGCTACTGTCAGAAATTCGCTGATATGTCCAGTGTTGATGCACTCCTAAATGCCAAAAGACAGTTCTTTCCAGAACCAGTGGATGCATTGCTGCCAAGGTTTCCCAAGTGAGTGAAAGAGAATCTTCAATAACTCTGTCAAGAAAGGATCTTACTGATTTGAAGCAATCGATTTCTTCTTTTGGCGAGTACTACGTACCCATGGATCCTCAGGCAGAAAGCCAGCATCACCCAGGTAGGAATTGTTTATTTCTTGGATGCTGCAATAATACATTGACGTCTATACTGAAGCATTTTGCAGGCCTTTGTATCTGTTCACGAGGGTGTGTTATTAATATGCATGATGTGTATATAATACTCGTTTAAGCAAGATGAATGTAAGTGTCGAGGGTATGAGCCATCCTGTCACTGCCAGCTACTATTTTGTTATTCCAGAGGGATCTACTATCAATGCTATGAAAGGGAATATAAAGAGACTTGAAGCAGATAACGTGTCACTCCTTGAGGTAATGTTTTTGTTAACAGCAAGAAACTTTTAAAACATATGGTATTTATATTCAACACTGATCGGTCCACCTCAAATCTCAATTACCTCTGACTGAAAGTAATGATATAATCTCCAGTCGTCTAGCTAACATGTACATGTCATTCAGGGGATTGATATTTGTCTCACCTTACCTATGGCTCCAGAACATTCATGTGTACGTTGTAGTGTATGAATGTACTACATCTCATTCCTCATTCAGGCTTTAAAGAATCGCGATCAACAGATCAAAGAGCTGACGTCAACGATGGAATCTCTAGGTAAGCCTGACTTCAACTCTGCAAACATAGATTTCAAGAATACAATTGATTATGATATATGTTAGGCTGTCCGTATGTTGGCTATGATTGCCCCACCCGCCATGAATTCATATTCCGACATGATAAAATAAAAGTTGTCTCATCGCCGCTGTGGAACATTCTGTCCTGTTGAGATGCTCTCACTACTGCCAACTTATAAAAACACATGTTGAACTATTTTCACTTTCATGACTATTACCAAGTTTTTTGTGTTTATTTATTGTGTTATATAGAAAACAATCCAGTTTTTTTGTTGGTATTTCTGTAGAATGCTGTTCTCTCAACCGGTGTCTTTCTTGTTAAATGAGTGAGTGAGTGAGTTAAATTTGAAAAGTCACTTTGGCAAAATTTCAGCCACATTAATTAAAGGCAAATTGTAAAAACCTGTCAACGAAGACAGTAAAGCAACTAGATTATCACAGATAGAAATTTAAAACTAGTAATTAAATCTAAACCATTTTAACTATACATGACAATACAATATAAAAACAACTGAAGGTAGATCACCATACTAGGGACCATGGGGACTTACAGCACATTTGCTTCCTGCATTCTTTCTTGTTTAAGTTGCTGGAGGGGTTGGTGATGAGAAACCAATAAAACTGCAGATTGCCTAACCTGTATGAGTGGAGTTTGGACACCTAGAACATGGCATGATCTAAGCTGATAGTTTGCTCGTATTATGTTTGCCTCAGCTATGCGGTAAACGGATGCGATCATTCCCACTTTACTCCCACTAACTTCCATTGAACACTGTGTTGACACAGCACGTAACAGAAATGGGTTAAGGTCGACATGAACATTATTCCTCACCTCTACACCACCTCAGTATCTATTTGAGCACCCTAGTGTGTTCAAGTATATAATGCCTATACATCCTTTGTAGTGCGCGTGTCCGATGTTGCTGTCCACTTCCTTCGCATGCCAGACGTCTCCTTCCCTGTGCCACTTCTTTGTAAGTATGTTTTAGGATAAGTATTCATACTTGCGTAAGGTAACCAATTCAAGGGCGTTATCTGTATGATATGATTGAAAACCTGATTGCTTGGATCATACTCGCAACATTCATAACAGATTTGTAGATACATACCGGATGATTTTATTGTTATCGTATGGCATGGTGACAATCACTGGATGGTCTGGTCAAGACTCGATTTGTTTGCAAACAACATCGTTCAGCTGTAATACTGCTGAAACAAGCATATGCTCATGATATACATACAAGTGTACAATCGATATTTCTCATAAATGTGGAAAGGGTTTTGTAGCCTCTCTTTACATATTCTTGTCACATTGTTTTCTTGTAGCTTCGCCGTGAGCCTGTGAACAGGATTTCACACATTATACCGACTATATAAGGGTCTAGTGAATATTCACTTACTTATAGATCAATATTTCTGTCACTGTTCTTCGATAACGTAGTCACTTATGCATTACGAAAAGCTTAACGGACCAACTTCGGTATTTCGTAGACTCGTGCAGCCTGAAGGTAATTTGTTTAGCAACTGCCATGCACAGACATAATATATCCTTTTAAGCACATACAGCAATCAAAATGCTCGATACGTGGTTCAGAGTGAGTGAGTGGGTGAGTGGGTGTTTGGGAGGGGTCGAGGGATGGGTGAAATATTTGTTTTATAGTAATCGATAACTACTCCCTTGTAAATTGTGTTATATTTGGGAACACACTTTCTATTTAAAGTACATATTCTCATACTTTTGTCAAGTTGAATCCCATCTGGTTACTACTCCCTTGAAAACTATGTGTGGTACGTAATACGATTTATCACTAGTTGTTCAAAATGGTCAATCAGGATAATAATTAAGGAGTGGTCAGGCACATATTCGTAATATAGAGGGTAGTATACTAAGTATGTCCGTGTGTTGTAGGTATACCACTGAAGTATGACAAAGACAGAGTCAATCTCGACAAAGTCCACATCAACACAGAAGGAGACCTGGTCAACAGGAAGTCGGGCACCAGACCTGCAGGGGAGGGGAGACTGAAGAAGTACGAGGGCACATGCAGCACTGATCCCCTCCCCCAGGATGGCTGTCCCCAGTACTGGGAGGTGGAGAACAGGGTCAGTGTGGACAAACCACTCTCAGAGAACTGGCTCATCCTGGAGGTTGGAGTATGTAGGGAGGAGCAGAGGGACGTGCATCATTGTATAGGTGGACGTCCTTACTCCTACAGTATGACCGTCTCCCACTGTACTACACACGGCGGGATATGCAGGAGGATATGGAAGGAGGGGAAGTATGTGCTGCATCTGCCTGACACTCTCCCCAACACAGCAGGGGCATCACACACACTACATTACGGTGTTGTCTATGATGACGCCAGGAAGAAGATTGTCTTCATTGATGTGAAGGAGAAGAAAGTCATGTCGACGTTAGACAATGTAGACTGTAGTGAACCACTGTGGCCGATGTTCGGGGTGTATAACCCACAGACTGGGTCACTGTCAGCATGAGACTTGTAGTGGGCAGCGACATCAACATGACGGAGGAGAAGAAAGCGATGATTGTCAAGGCGCTGTCGTGATGTCGTGACGTTAGAAAGATGTTCATGATAATGATCAATAAACATAGAGCTGTAGATAGTGAATACGCACTGCCGGGCCGGACTTCTCAAAAAGGTGGCTCTTGACTGAGTGGCCTGCTCGAGCGGCCGTCCGGTTTACTTTGAAAAAGCACAAGACCTTTACATGGAAGAAGGTATGAACAGGCGGGATGAATTATATGAGTGTATATATACAATGACCTAATAAATTCTACTGACCCCAAAGAACAATTGTCACTGGTAACTGAAATAGTCAAAATGAAACATCTGCTATTTCCATGATACCGACAATCAATCTGACGGTGGCAGGCACCATTTCACTTCACAAGAATGAATTGACTGAGCCGTTCGTAAAATCACTTAGATGAACGCGTTTGGCCGGTAGATTTTGTGAACATTGTTTAAATGCTTTGATTAACTTCACACATAAGATTCGAGGACGGAAATTGGGTATCATGTGTACACATTTGTCTTATCACAGCTCGCAAGGATGTACATGTAAGTAACTTTGGAACCATAGAAATGACACTGTTTCTTTATGTGATTACAAAAAGTGTCAAACTTTAGAAACGCATGACAATTGGGAAAACAGGACATTATAGATATGCTGTGTTGACACTTTTACAAGTTATATATGGTATATCAATATGTGTGTATATATCTATCTGCATACATTCAAAAATACGCACGTACGCACACACACAATTGTGTAGTTTTCCAGATCGTAATTAACTAGCCTTTGCATTAAACCACAACTCATTTTTCAGGGCGGTGTCGGTTTAAATAGTTCATAATTTGATAAAAATACATGGAAAATGTATTGATGTCAGTCTTTATTATACACCCTGTGTTGGAGCGTGTACTTACTCCTTCATCGGGTTAATGAAAGCCAGGGTACATATGAGAACGACAAAAGTAAAACAGATAACAAAGGTGGACCATTTATAGGGAGGCCAGTAGTCAGTGGGTGCTGGCTGGTACTGGCAAGAGGCGGGAAACCAGGAGTAGTTATGCACTGGCTGATAACCGACAAAAGGAAGGCAGCAGGATTGTCCTGGTGTTTGTTTGCTGTTTAACTCCGCAATAGTCCAACTATGTAAAGGTAAGTAAATAACTACGTTTGGTGCAAACAGTCCAGTGATCAACAACATGAACATCGATCTACGCAGTTGGGATACGATGGCATGTGTCAACCAAGTCAGTGTGTCTGACCACCCGAACCTTTCATCGCCTCTAATATAACCTGGATCTTCACGGGTCAAGTTTTAAATATTCGATGCACACACAATAGATGCATTGAAAAAACGTTGTCAGTGGGTTGAACAGCAAAAGCAATATACTTTTCTTAGTAACCTTATAAAGTACTAGACAATGACAATCACTTTCCCGAACATCTAGAGTCACAAAAGTGTGTTTCTTTTGATTTTTCTGAATGAAACTTACATGTCCTGACTGATACCCAGACAATATACCCCCAACCCCCTCTCAGTGAGGAATGGAATCTTATTCTTATTTTTATACGAGTGATTGTGTGTTAACATTTCCACTATTCAGCTTCAAGAAGACAGATTTTTGGCGTAATAAACAAACGATTTAGCCACAGGGCTCCGCTAAATACCCAAAGTTTTACATAATTTATGTTCTTCTAATAGCGGCACCCCTTGAAGAGCAACCTCCTCGTGGTGGGTGCTGGGTAACGCTAATGGCTCTTCGCCCCCGTGTGGACCCGGGGTCGAATAGGTCCACAGCATCCCATTGCTGGTCGTAAGAGGCGACCAAATTGGGCAACCCGTTTGCCGTGGGTTGCATCCCTGTGTCGGCAGAGGAAGGGAGTCTGGTGGTTGAGGATGACGGAACCGGCAATAGTGTTCACTAATCCAACACACCACTTCGACCCTAACTTTGCCTAGACGGGTGGTAGAATAGGCCCGATTCTACCAATCGGCTGGTCACGCCTTGCCCTGTGCATGGAATGTCTATACAAAACGTGGTATCACATAACACTTTTGACCATGTTCAAAATGTTAACAAATATTCCACCAAAACAAACTAGCCTCGCAGACCCATGCACAGAAGGCGGTGGCTCATGGGCCAATCTGGTGATGCTGACCTCCGATCTCTGTACGTCTCCAATTGATTGTCATGGACAGAACCATCCTGACCTTTAATCTGGTAGGCAGCTACAGCATTTCATGTCAAATTCGCTGGAGTATAACATCCCCTTATCCCTGGTCTTTGCAGCTTGGAGATCCGCTGCAATATAAGACCGTCCTTGTTGACACTCCACGGTGGGTGGGGAGAGGGGATGCCGAACCACATTACCCACGACATGGCTTCCCAATACCCCGGTTCAAAACGACGACACATGGATACCGACAATTCCTCGTCTGACGAGTACGCCCCGACCTGACTACTGGCCACGCTTCCTGATTATTGAGGCTTGTGACAAGCAACCTTTGCAATTGAACCCTTTTGCAATCTCCAAAGGTATCGCTGGTATCTGCGGAGAGGTTGCCAATGTCACAAAGCTCCGATCTGGCTCTCTCCTGATAGAATGTACCGGAAACACCAATCTTTAAATCTTCTCAAAATACAAGAATTTGTGTAAATATCAAGGTCGCTGTCTCAGCACACAAAACCCTTAATTCGTGTAGAGGCATTGTACGGGACAGAGCTCGATGCCTGTCTGACATGACTGAAGAACAAATTGTCAAGGAACTATCTCAGCAATCCGTCACAGCCGTCAAACGATTTACCTTCAAAAGGATGGTGTTGTTCAACCAACGAACACCTATCTCTTCACGTTCGCGCGAGCAAACATTCCTGACTCGATTAGAGCTGGTTATTGTAGCATTGGTGTGGAGGTGTATGTCCCCAATCCACTCGGTGCTACAACTGCCAAAAGTTTGGACATGGATCCAAGTCCTGTCGTTCCTCTGCTGTCTGTTACCGCTGTGGTGACAAGCATGAGGGCAACGACTGTACTAAGAAGTGAAGTGCACAAACTGCGGTGGTAACCATATGGCCTCTTCCAAGTTCTGCCCGAGTATGGAAACGCGAATCCGAGATACTGAAGATTAAACACAAAGAAAATATCTCCTTTCACGAAGCAAGAAGGGGTTGCAAGTCTAACTGCAGCCCTTCAACCATCACCTACTCTGCTGCGGTCTCCCGTCCTACCATCACTACTGCAACCATCTCATGTCAGACCGACCTGACATGGGTCACGTCTTCTCAGCCAACTGAACTCAACACAACTCAGCCTATCTCAGCCACTCCATCTCCAGCGCCAAAAGTCAAAACTTCTGAATCACAAACGCCAGAACAAATGCAAAACCAGAGACAGAAACTGCGCGCAGAAAAGGGAAAAAGAGGCTAGAGAGACTAAAGCAGCTCGAACAACCTCCAAACACACAAACCAAAGGCCACCTCTCCCTCAGAGGTCCCCATCGAGGTCCATAACTCCTTTGGCCCTCTGGATATGGAGGTAACTCCATCTCCACCAGACACCAATAGGAGTTCATCAAACGCTTTCTCGTTCACGTGACATGTCACCAGTGGAAGCACCATGAATCCACAAAACATTATCCAATGGAATTGCAGAGGACTTAAGAATAATTATAATGAATTACAGTTATTGATTCAAGACTTCAAACCATCTGCGTTTTGTCTCCAAGAAACCTACCTAAAAGGACCGATAAATTTGACATCCGTCGGTACAGTTCCTATCACTCCTTTTCTCCTCCGGTGTAAAAGCTACAGGAGGCACTTCTATCCTGGTGAGGCAGGGCACCCTCCATAGCCCTGTTCCACTTAACACCAACCTACAAACTGTTGCTGTCCGCATAACTCTGAACATAGGGTTTACACTATGTTCCTCTATCTCCTCCCACCTCAACTGTCCGCCTATCAGATCTTCAGAACTTATACGATCAACTCCCAAAGCCCTGCATAATCATGGGCGACTTCAGCAGCCATAACCCCTATGGGGAGTAACGATACAAATAGTAAGGGAAAGATCCTTGAAGAGTTTCTCTCAATAATGATGTATGCATCTTCAACAATGGATCAAACACCTACCTCCATCCTGCCACCGGATCATACTCTGCTCTCGATCTATCACTTACAGATTCTAATCTTTTAAATGAGTTCGAATGGTCGGTCCATGACGACCTTTGTGGAAGCGACCACTTCCCAACAATTCTTACTCCTATCAACCCCACGGATGAACCACCATCAACAAGATGGAATTTTACTAAGGCCAACTGGCCCTTATTCCAAAACCTATGTTCAGAAAAACTTAAGCCGGACAACTTCAGGAATGTTCCTGACCCCATGGAACTATTTTCAGACGTCCTAAATGCCATCGGAGACAAAAGTATTCCTAAGTCCTCTGCAAACCCGCACATACGCAAACCATGGTTTGATACAAACTGCAAACAAGCTAGGAAAAATAGGAAGAAGGCGGAAAAATATTTCCGACAACATCCTACAGTGCATAACCTGAATGCTGTTAAAATGACAAATGCCAGAGCAAAACGTACCTTCAAACAAACTAAACGCCGGTCATGGAGGAAATATGTGTCAAAATCAACTCCCGCACACCCATGTCCAAGGTGTGGAACATGATTCAAAGATCAAGGGCAAAGGGTCAAAATCAGGGAGTTCACCACCTGAAGATGGTGACTCCCTTCTAACAAATAAATCTGAAATTGCAAACAAACTCGGCGAAACTTTGGTAAACCACTCCTCCTCATCAAACTATAACCCTCAGTTCCAGAAATATCAAACCCAACAAGAAAAGAAACCAGTCAATTTTAACTCTGATAATGGGGAGGATTACAACGAAACGTTTTCCCTCCATGAATTACGTACTGCCCTAGGACAAGCTCATGATACTGCGGCGGGAGCTGATGAAATCCATTATCAGCTTCTGAAACACCTCCTGACAGAGGCCTGGAAACACTCCTAAATATATTTGATGACATCTGGACATCCGGACACTTTCCCCCTTCATGGCACAATGCCATTATCATCCCTATACCAAAACCCGGTCGCGATCATACTGATCCCTCAAACTACCGTCCTATATCACTAACTAGCTGCGTTTGCAAAACCATGGAGCGCATGGTCAACAATCGATTAATCTGGTACCTGGAGACCAATAACCTCCTCAGTGACCTCCAATGTGGTTTCCGAAAAAACCGAAGTACCATTGACCATCTGGTGCGTCTGGAATCATTCATCAAAGACTCCATTGTCAACAAACAACATGCAGTATCTATCTTTTTCGACTTAGAAAAAGCATATGATACAACATGGAAACATGGTATCCTAAAAGATTTACACGAGTTTGGATTGAGGGTGTAGACTACCTCAATTCATATCTCGGTTTTAAATAACAGACAATTTCAAGTTCGGTGGGTTCCACACTGTCTGACTATTTCCACCAAGATCAGGGCGTCCCCAAGGCAGCATCCTGTCTGTCACACTTTTAGCATCAAAATTAACAGCCTCACTAACGTCCTGAACAGTTGCATTGATGGGTCCCTTTTCGTGGATGACTTCAATATCTCATGTCGTGGTAAGAACATGCATGCAATAGAAAGGCAGCTACAACTCTGCCTTAACAAAATCCAAAAATGGGCCAATGAAAATGGTTTTAAGTTTTCAAAATCCAAAACAAATTGTATTCACTTTTGTCGTAAATACAAACCACACAAGGATCCAGACCTAACTTTAGATGGTACTCCCATCAAGGTAGTAGAAGAGGCCAAATTCCTTGGACTCATATTCGACCGCCACCTGACATTCTTACCA